ATACAAAGCAAGGAGAAAAAATGGCAAAAATGCTTCACGAGGTTTTCTCAAATGAGAATTACAAAAAAATTACAAAGACCATTCCCTTAAAAGGCATAGATTTTTCTTATGCTTTTCCCCTTTCAGCACACAGAACCTAATTTTTAATCTTTTCAAGGCAGAATAGGACCAAAAATACACTTTAAGAATTCCCCATTATTTTGGAATAGCTAGATGTAACATCAAGAAAATCACTGTTGCTATTGGGTAGGGATTCAAACAGTTGAATCCATTCAGTAATTTATGAAGAGCTGGCAACTAGACTGATCTGCACAAAGGAGAATGACAATCAACCTACTCTAGATTGCAGGACTGGATTAGATAACCTCTAAAGGTGATCTCTAACCCGAACTATTCTAAAATTCTGTGGTAATACTTTGATACAAAACTTTCTGATCATGCCAAACAACATCTGAATTTAGAGAATCTCCATCATCTTACAGGCTTTTTTATAAACCCTGTGAAAATTAAAGTCTTCATTTTAACACAGTGCTTTAAATGACATCCTGTAAATGTAATGGTGATTCAACCTGCTAAATCCACCTCCAAACATGTGCAAAATAAGGAACCCAGGAATTGTGAAATCAAATCTTGGTATGTTCATTTAAATAAATAATAGAATTGATAAGCTGAAAGTAGGTGGAGAACACTTTGGATCATTAAGTTACATCTTTTACATCTCTCTTTTATGAGATGAGAAAGAAGATTATGAGAAGAAAACTCACAAATAAGATATTGACTTGATGTATGCAAAAATTTAGTCATTTTGCTTGAAATAAAAAAGCATCAGAATTTAACAAAGCCAAGCTGGAGCTTCATTTGAAACAAATTACTTTTTCCTTTCTACATGTATGGAGGGCCTTGTGAACATTGAATGACTTCAGTAATAAGGTTTCTGTTTACTCCAACTAGCAAATAATTCTTGGAAATATTAATTCAAATCAGTTGACCAATAACTGAGCAATTTCCTGTGAGCACATGCAGAATATTTGCTCTCAAATTCTAGTGCAGCAAGACAACTACAGAATTTCTCAGAAAAACTGAAATAACATCATACATTCTGTTACAATTGCTTTGCTTCCTTCTCTCAGCACTTACGTAAGATAGGTTCCTCGTACGTTGACATCCATCATAAGATTGACCTTCTTTGTTGCTGTTTCCAAAGTGCCCGTCAAAGATATGGCGCTTGCATTATTCACCAAAATATCAATCCCTGGTTTTAAAGTAAGCCATTTCACATTAGCATTTAAAGAAAAAAAAAAAAAACATGAGTAAGGCAGGCAGTTCTTTTCTCTCTTTGTTTGAACAACCTGCCTGTTAATGCTTGCCTTCTCCCATGCCTTAACTTACCTCCAAAAGTCTTCACAGCTTTCTCCACGGCATTAATTATTTGCTGTTCTTCTCTCACATTAACAATGCATGGCAAAGCCTTTCCTCCAGCTGCTTCAACTGCACAATTCAAAAGTTAAACATTTAAACATTTGATCTCAGATGGGACAACTAACATGAACCTTCTGAGAACCTCTCAGGCAATGACATGCTTCAAGACAGCTCTGAAAATCACACTCTCAAATTGTGTTAAAATGACTTTTTAACTTGTCATATGATAAACAGGGAAGCCAAAACAGTATCTTAACAATGCAAATGTTTATTTCATGGATCTCAAATAGCATAGCATTTTTATATTTATATACACACATCCATCTTCATTACAGTAACATTACAGCACTCCTGGGAGGCAAGAGAAGCACTAAGCAGATTTTAGTAAAGGTGAACTCAAACTAAGAGACTATGCATTTTTCCATTTTACCAGCTACAGTAATTAAAGCAAAGGTATATACCCAGCCAAGCATCTTCATTTGTTACAACTTACTTTCTTCTGCAGCAGTATAGATAGTCCCTGGAAGAGTAGGATGGGGCTCAGCTGTCTTGGCAGCTATCACAATGTTGGCACCATCCTTGGCAGCTTTCAAAGCAATGGCCTTGCCGATGCCCCGGCTCGCACCTGTGATGAAGAGAGTGCATCCTGCCAGTTTCCTAAAGGTGAAGGGGGAAGAGGACAGTAAAGAAGAGAAGAATAAAGCAGAGCCACTCATCATTTGACTTTTACCAGACTCTAAGGGCAAATGTAATTAGCATAGTCTCCCAACCAGAAAAACACCTTCATCCTTTTACTAAGAAAACAGCCTGGAGAACACAAAAGGGATGGCCACAGCTACAGAAAAGTACCACACCCCAAGTTTGCAAATATGATAAAGAAGGTTACCCAGTTACATTTCTCCCCTTTTGTTAAAAGATCCAACATGCTATTTTACAACAGAGCTGCTATATTCTGCAACAATGGAAAAAGAGTAATTTGTAAAAACAAAATGCCAGTTTCCAACAAGACAGCACACCTATGCAGATCTCTGTAATCTATTAAACACAGTGCTCTAAACACAAAAAAACTGGTGTCTCAATGTGGTATAAAGTACCATGTGTGGAACCACAATACTACATGGAAATGCCAAAAGCTTTATTTTCAGAAATGGCAATTTTTCTGTTAAATCTTCTACACTCAACAGTTTCCCAGTAACTGTGTGTAATCCAATGGGTTCTCTGAATAAACAGGTCCAATCAACTTAGAGAAACTAACAAGTTTTAAAGCCTAAGAAGGATGTCTGGCTAACACAGTATCATTGAATTTTTGAAAAGGGAAAAATCAACTCCACAAACATATTCAATGATAAAGCCTTTTAGACAACAGGGTTCCATATGAAGGAATGTGTGTTTCAGTGCTCCACAAAAAGCTCATGTTGCTTTATGTAGCACTGTAGCAAAATCCAGGAGGTTCAGGTTTTTAACTTCAGTTGAAAATTCATATAAACTATGTGCAACAGTGACTTCACTTTTTGCTCACATCACAAATGTTATAAAAGCTTACACTCTGAGCTGCCATTATTTTTCCTTTCAGACTGGGCCAAACAATATTGTTTCTCTCCCTCTGGTTTAAGATGTGTTTTTTCTCCCTCTAATTTGAGCACATTCATCTCTTAAATGCTCTCTAGGAGGATGTTTGCTTTCAAAACGCAGAAAACTCGAATGGGGCAGAAAGGGGGAGATGCCTCTTCCCGTGAAGAGGCAAGGCTAGGCATATACAGGATCTCAGAAAGTCAACCATGTCCAGAAGGTGCCATTTCAAACTGCTTTTATCTGCAAAATCTTCAAGAGTCATAGAAAGGCACAAGAAGAAAAATATCTAAACTGAAGAGTGAACCACAAAAAACTAATGCTGTGAATTCAGTCACACACACAGTGAGGAAAGTTCAACAGTGGAATACATAGTCAAAGTGTAAAACACAGTGAAGTAAGGCCAGAATCTAGTTTCTATCTTCAACCAATCAGTATGAGGTCAGCACAATCCACCTTAGTCATGGAAGAGGTAAAAGAGGTCCAGCGGGAAGTAGCTCTGGAGGGGAAAAAGAGCAGAGAAAAGCTGACAGGGCTTTAAGCACTGCCTGGGGCTGAAGTGATCTATTCAGGAAGACAAGAATGTGTATCAGGAGACTAGCAGGTCTATGCAGGGAACTTGTGACTTGGCTCCCAAGAAAAGTGTCATACAGGGAATGGGTGCAAAGACAGGCCACAAAGAAGGAATCAGAAACATTACCAGGGCACACTGGGGTGTTGTCAAGAAAACCAAAGTTCACCTGCAGCAGAAGCTTGTCAAGGGCATCAAAAGCTCAGAGATTTCTGCTACATTGGTAGGAAAAGCAGGCTGTTTGCTTAAGGGGTGAATGCAAGTCTTTCCACACTGTCATAATATTTTTGCTTCATATTTAAGACATGATCCTATGATCTGGATGCGTGTGCAACCTGACAGGTAAAAAACTGGTTGGTTGGTCAGGGTTAGAGAGTGGTGGTTAGTTAGTCATATTCGCAAGACTAAGATTTTATTTCTTAATTCACTTAGCAGCTCAATAGTTTAAAGTTCATAAAACATATCTGCCTGGCTAAAATTTCTTATGACCTGTATTGTGAAGGTCACATCTGCATGCCTTCCATTAGAGTTGAATTCTGATAATAAGACAGAAAACATCAAATTCAGATCTGTGCCCTACGGCCTTGAAAAACATTAAGACTGGTTCCTTTCCTACCACAGATGACTGCCAATAAAGATCTTCAGGTCACACGGGGGACGGTTTTAACAGCTTACACAGATGTTAGGAATTTAATAATCCTGTTTATAACACACGGGAACAAATAATAACTTATCTTCCCAGCTGTTATCTGAAAAGCCAAAAGGCAAAAAACACCTCCTGTAAATTAAGATCCTATACAGGAAGAAAATTTGGCTGCCAGGTAAGACAGTATAATACTATACATCAGTAACAAAAATAGCAATAACAACAACAATAGTAGTAGCAATAAGTAATTATAGTTTGATATAATATACTTTAATGAGTAATTATACTTTAATAAAAATGTCCCATATGAAATTACTGATACACTGACAAACTCCTCCAGTAACTGTTTCCTTTGCAAAATGCACCGTTCAAGTCCCCTGTACGACCCAACTGCTCATCTCGGGGCTCCGGCGCTGTCCGGGGCCCCTCGGCCGTTGGGGCCACGCGTGTCCTCCGCGCCAGCTGCTCGCCCTCGGCCGGCTGCGAGTCCCGCAGGGCGGCAGCGCTCGGGGGTGTCCAGCGAACCCTCGGCGGCCGCAGCCCGCCCGCCCCGAGAGCCCCTGGAGGGCGGCAAAGCCCCGTCCCGGCGCGGCGGGGACACCTTACCCAGTGTTAGGCAGCATGGCGGCGCGGCTGGGCCGGGGCGGGGGCAGGGCCGGGGGCACGGCCGGGGGCCGGGCTGGGGGCAGGGGCGGGGTCGGGGGCAGGGCCGGGGCAGGGCCGGGCCCGTTCCGCTGCGCAGCCGCCGCAGCCGCTCGGGGCGGGGCCGGGGCCGCGCCCCCGCCGGGCTCTGCCGCTCCAACCGGGGTTGTGCGCACCGAGGGGTGGCGGGCTCGGGGGTGTGAGCTGACGTGAGACTGGAGAAAGGCCTACGCGGGATGAAAGGTGGAACTGGAAGGCTTTCCGTATCCTTTCATTCTCTGCCGCACGTGTGAAATTTTGCTTTGGTCTCCTGCCAATTGCACTCAAATCACTGGAGCTTTGACTCCACCTTCCTCCACGGCACTCTTCTGGAATGCCGTGTCCAGTTCGGGGCTCGTCAGGACAAGAGAGACAGGGAGCTACTGGAGTCAGTCAAGTGGAGGAGCACAAAGGTGATTTGGGCATGGAGCATTTTTCTTCTGAGAGCAGACTGCGGGAGCTAGGCCTGTTCAGTCCAGAGATGACTGAGAGGGGATCTCCTTAATGTATATAAATATCTCTAAGATGGATGCCAAGACCATGGTGCCAGACTGTTTGCCGTGGTGTCCAGAGACAGAATAAGGAGCAGTGGCCATAAACTAAACCACAAGAATTCCATTGAAATATGACGAAGAATTTCTTTGTGTTGAGGGTGGCAGAGATCTGGAACAGGCTGTGTCCCATGGAAGCTGTGTCATCTGATCTAGGTCACCCTGCCTTGACAGGGTGGTTGGAGTAGATAATCTCCAAAGGTCACTTTCAACTCTAATGAGTCTGTGATTCCTTGTTTATTAGAAAGTCTGCTGTAGAATACTGTGGCATTGTTCACACAGCCACACCTATCCAATCCTATCCTTCATCCTTCCCCTAGTACCTCTCTTATTTCACAATAACTTCGAGGTCAGCCTTGCCTCAGTGCCCTACACGTGTAACTTTTCCTTGTCCTCCCTCTACTGCCTAATGAAGACTCTGACTTCCTCCCATCCTTACCATGCTAACCGCCTGTTACTGTGGTTAGCAAATCTTCCACCAGATTCTGCCTTTGGCTTATCTTTCCCCCTTCAGCTCTCAGAGATTCTGTGCAGCATCCTGAGAGGGCTTCAGGTTTCACCAGGAACTGATGGCAGAAGGGGAAATCACCCAGTTGGTCTAAACCTGCTGGAAGAATTGAGACAGATGGTTTTACTGACTTCAAGAGAAATCATAGTGAGCCCTGAGCAGATGAACTAGTCTGTGTATTAATATAATGGTGGTTGTTGGTTCCCTTCACTGCTGTTCACAGTGTTGCAGGGCTGCAGACTCCTTCATGACTGAGGTGTCAGCTGGCTAAAGAGGCCAAGGGCTGTCTGAACACTTTGCAACTGTAACATGCCACCTCCTTTGCCAGGGTTGACATCCTGCACAGAGGGAAGTGATAGTGCTTTGCTAAGATCTTCAGGCCTGCTTTTCCTTCATTCTCCCTGCAGCCACTTGGCCCAAATGACGAACGCGCAGCTTGACTGCCATAGCTACATGCCCAGACTGTAAGCTTCATGCCTGCGGTGTCCTCCATGGAAGTGAGCCGTAGTGACTGTATGTAGAGAGCTGCCACTTTCACCTGTGTTCACAGGTACCTGCAGGAGGAACACCTGGACATCATGGTTCAGCCATCTTCCCCATGAGTGTTTGTTTTGTTTATAGTTGGTTTGGTTTTTTCTCTCTCTCTCTCTCCAGTGTATGATAGGGGAACTGAAGTGATGGGGCTTTTTGCTCTATCAGGAGGGTCAGTTTACCTCCTGGAAGGTTTTTTAGCAGAGGGGCAGAAAGCAGGTGCTGCAGAAGGTGGAAGGCTCCTGCACTGGGATTCAGTGGTGTTGCCGGTGTGGTAGCCCCGCAGCTCACCCCACCTCACTCCGGGTGCTGAGCAGGGGAGCACGGGTTTGCCGTGGGCTGAACACCCTTGCATCTGTGCTTGCAGTCCTGTGCTCTGCTCTCTACACTGCAGAAACTCCACAGTCCTGGGAGCAGGGAGAAGGACACGCCTGTGCTCTCCCAAATGCCATTCCCTCCGATGGTACGGCATTCACCCGGAGCTAGCTCCTGACCCCGCAGCTACTCGCAGGAGAACATAGAGCGCCCTTCTTTTTCAGGAACTGCTCCTTTAGCGTTGGTATTTTGTCCGTGGGCCTTGCCGCGCTGCAGTGCCGCCTCCGCGGCTGTCCCCGCGTCCCTGCGCCCGGCGCGCTCTGCCGGTGTCTCCTCCGCCGGCTGCGCCTCCCTGCCAGCCCCAGCCGGGCCGACCCGGCTGCAGCCACCGAAGGGCAGGAGGAAATGCAGCCATGCGGCAGGAGGTGGCGAGCGAGGTCCTAGGGAGCGCTGTCAGCGGGGCCCTGAGTGTCCTGGTGACAGTGGGATGCTCTTTCAGGCTTGCAATCGGCTCTGAAAACGCCAGCATGTGTGCAGAAATGTTGCGGGTTTTTTTCAGAATTGTTTTGTGTCAAGGTGAAGGGCAACTAAGAATGCTGAACTGGTTTTATAGGAGTGTCAAAACAGGGATAAGGCCAGGGCAGAAGAGGCAAACTTGGAGTGTTCCTTTCTGGTGGAATTACTCCTTGACCAGTCACACTGGGACCGTTCTGCCAGGGACAGATGGTGTTAGTTCCTTGGGCTCCCAGTGCGGGTTATTCTGTAGGGACCCACAGAACAGAAACTAAATATTTTTTGATGCTGAAGACACCTAAGAGACTTTCAACAGCAGATTTTAAGGGGCTGATCAACTTGATTTGCTTTGTAAATTGCGAAACCTTTCCTTTATTGGAAAACCTTTCCTTTATTGTTAAATGTGCATGTTCACTGTGGCAAAGTAAAATGCTGATCAAGTTGATGTGTTTAAACAGAATTTTCTGTATTTTAAGTAGAATTCTCTGGATCTTTAAGCTCTGAGTTTTGAAGCAGAATTCAATGTCCCTGTCCCTTTGATCTCTGATCCAGATGGAAGTTGATGGTCTCATTCTCCCCTTTAACCTTTCTTTTAAATGTAAAAAGATGCTATCAGGGGACTTAAGCAGATGTTGCTCAATGTTTATGGAAAGCTTTTGTATTTTATGACCTGCCTGGCAATTGTCTGAGAAGATGACATCTTCTTTTACACTCAGTCTGAAGTTCTGCACGTCCTGAACTGAACTTTGCTTGAAACTGAGTAGGGGACATTGCCCCAAACAACCAGCAGGGACCACTAGAGACCCCCAAAGAGTTCTACAAAGGTGCAGTGACACATACTGCATAAGGTCGTGCAAATGAAGCAATTATGCTGTAGGCAGGAGTAATTATGTATTAGATAGGCAGGTTTATGTAGATTTCAGTGTGTGAATTCTCTCACATTTTAAACCTTGGTCAGCTTGATTTGTGGAAAATCTCTGCTTTGCATCTCAGGGATACATCAAAGGGTTTCTAAACCCTTTATCCATATTTAGAGAGTTCTGAAAGTTGGAAACAAAAGCAGTAAATTGATTTACAGTTTAGAAGCCTTTGCAGAATAATTAATTTATTGGAGATGCTGCCCAGGCATTCAAAGAGGAGAAGAAAGTAAGCAGATCCCAGCAGGAAGGAGCAGATGCAGCCAAGGTTAAGACAGAATCTGCTGTAGCCATGCCAGCGGGGCCTGTTGCAGAGACGTTCCGAGTTATTCAAGAGGCAGTGACTGAAGAGTACATGAGAAGGACTCAGGGCATCTTTCAGTTTGAGCTATCTGGTAAGCCCATCGCTTGTGCAGCCTTGCCTAGAAAAAGGCACTGGGTGCTTTCAGACAGAAACACTTTGGAAGCTGTCCCGAAGCAGACCAGCTGCTCTTCAGTTCTGTGTGAGGCTCCTGCTGCAGGCCGCTTGAGCAGGCCCCTGGAGCTGCCGTCCCTCTGTCCTCACGGGGCTGGTGTGGCACGAGGGACAGGGCGTTCTCGGGGCCACAGCAGGAGCGTGGGCTGCCACCAGCTCTGTGAGCAAAGCGCAGCTTCTGGGCTCTCCTGCCCGCGGCCCCAGCCCGTGGTGCTTGGGGCGTCAGGGGGACAAGAGGTGACTCCTTGCAGAGCGCCCGTCAGCGTGCGGCTGCCACGGAACCTGCTAACACACGCGGACGCGGCCGTCTGGTGGGGACAATGGAGAGGGAGGGCACAGCATCCTTGCTGCCTTCGCACCTTACTTCACTCTCTGTCCAGGTGATGGTGGAGGGACTTGGTACATTGACCTGAAGACCAAGGGTGGGAGTGCTGGCTTCGGAAAGCCTCCTGTGACGGCCGATGTGGTTATGAGCATGTCGAGTGCCGACTTTGTAAAGATGTTCACAGGTGAGGGACAAAGGCCTTTGTCAAGGGACACAGGCAGTGGGGCCCAGAAAAGCCTCTGCTGACAGGGGAGTAGAGCAGCTTCTCACTTTGTGATCTGGGATTGGAGGAGCTTTCAGCTTTTTTGGCTCAAGGGAGAGTGCAGGCAAGAACTGCTTGGATTTTTCTGCACTTCTGCATCCTGTGAACAGGAAGAGTGCAAAAGGTTACACTGCTTTTATTAACCAGGTACTGACATTTTAGCAGCCAGTGTATCTTCAGAAATAATCCAGTCAGTGTGTTGGATTTGTGCTTTGTGTATATCTGAGCATCATTTCCTAAATGTGCACTGCTTGTACCAGGAGGACTTGTTAGGAAAGTAAGCTGATATGTTTCATCTCCCCTGAGAGATTGGAGCCATATGGTCTTTTCTCAGTTAAATCAGTCATAATATAATAATTTCATTAAGTAACAGGATACAACATCTGATGTCATTTGCTCCTCTTTGCTTTCTCATTCCAGAAAACATATTTACTGATTAAATAGTGTTGTACAGGAGGCAGTGTCAGAATTTTCATAATGTTAAATTGCTACACTTCTTTGTAAGTGTGATTTCTACAAGTAACACTATTCAAAACAGCTCCAAATCTTTTTTAACACACTTCAAAATGAAGTCAGAAGAGAACAGATTAATAATGAAAAAAAAAAAAAAGTTATCCATTAAATTAATCATTGCAATCAAGTCCTCAGAAATGTTTTTACAGATGGACTGGAAAAGTAAATTCTACTTCGATTAATCAGCCTCCTCCTTTACAGCAAAGTTCTTCAATATTGTGAAATGTAGATAGATAAAGATATATGGAAATTATTTGTTAAATTCAGATAGTGGAAGTATATGAGATTTAATCACAGATTCTGATTTAGCATTTTTACCACGTGGATAAAACTATGAATGATATTCCAAACCAGAATTTCTAAAGCACTCAAAAATCTTACTCTAGGGATATTACTATTTCCTGTGCACAGCCTATATACAAATTATTTTAATTTTCTGATTATTCTGTTTCTTCATTTTAGATAAACTAAAGCCATTCATGGCTTTCATGCCGGGAAATTCTAGTATTCAAGGTGATATGATGCTAACATTGAGTCTGGAAAAGATGCTGCTATAGTTAAATTTTGAACACTAGCAGAATCCTGGTCTTTCTTATGTAACTACAGAGCTATTTTAAAACACCAGTCCTCATTTTTTGCTGATGCAGATCAGCATTTTGTAGATCAAGATCAATAGATTTTGTAATTGCTACAGAAGTCACAAATCAGGTTGATTATAATACCCAACAGCAAACATAGCTTTTAAAAATAACTTCCTGTAAAGTTTAAAAGAACAATTATATCCTAAAATTCTGGTTTTTCAATAAAAGCTTTTCAAATTTTCACTTTTTTTTTTTTTTTTTTTTTTTTTTTTTTTTTCTGACTGCAAACTCTCTTGTGTCATTGTGAGATGCAAACCTAACAGCAATTTATTTCTTATCATGTTTTCTCATCTTTAAATTACCTGATGTCTAAGGAGATATGAGTTCTTATCCCATGATTAGGGGATGCACAGCATGTTTCCAGTGTACTGTAAGAGCTGAAGTCAGCACTAACTTTTCCTCTGACTGGGAGACAAACAGTATTTTTCTGCCCTGTACTGGTTTCACAAAGCTTTTATGAATTGACCATCCCTATCAGATGTTATTTAAAAACATCTCTGACAACCTTGAACTATTGAAAAAGTTTGCTGTGCACTGTTATGACAAGACCTAACATGGATGCTGTAATAGAGAAATTATTGCAGATATTTGCCTTCTGCAAAAGATTTTTACATGAGGTCAGAAGTGTGTTTCTTTTTACTCTATTACTCACTTCACAGATTTTGAGTCCCATAAAAATGAAGTAACTAAAAAATATTGTGACTGTTTTGCTACTGTGAGTAACTGGAGATAAAGGTACGATGTTTTTGGGTGATAATAAATGAAAAGAACGGCTCCAAGATGTGCATAAGAGAGACACGATCTGCTGGCTGCTGACTCTAGTAAGCAGGACCGATGGCTCGTCATACTGCGAAGGAAATGTGACCCTCATGTGCTCAAGGGCTCTGTTTAGACTTCTTCCCTCCCACCTGTTGAGCAGTTCCAGGTCCTCCGGAGGAGTTTGGAGCAGGCGGTGACAGCAGAGGGAGCAGGCAGCACAGCGCAGCGGGGCTGCCTTGGACACCCGCGGCAGCCGGGCGCTGCCGAGCCTGCCCTGCTGCGGCAGACTTGCCCAGGAGCTAGACTTGCCAAAGTGCACCAAGAGCTTTTTCTGCTTAAAGCACGGGTCAAATGTGGGATAGGGCGAGATAAACAGGTTTGCAGCGATTTAAAAATTTCTGTCTGTGCCTTGCATCCTCTTAGTTCCTTCCCTCATTCCAGGTGTAAAGTCTGTGCTCCAGAGCAGGAATGAGGGAAGTTACGTACTTCTAGATGACAGAGCACCAGGACTTGTCATATATATTTGAACCACTAAAATAATCCGTGAGAGTAATATTTTGGGGAGAGATTTGGTTTGGAAGAGTGTTAGCCTGAATGTTTAAAATTTGACAAAAATCAAACCCAGTAAATCCTTATGTAATGTCCACGTAATCTAATACATATAGTCCGTATAATGGTGTCTTGCTTAATCTTAGTTCTATGCGTCATTCTGTCCTAGAATAAGATGGTGCTTTGTATATATAGCAAAGTTAAGCTCTAATTAACTAAATACAACTAGCTCAAGCAATAATACATAGAGTCAGTGTCTTTTACTGCAGTGGCTTGTAGCTCTGTTTCCCATCATTTCTATCAGGGGCTGAGAACAAGACTTTGCCAACTGTCTGGGGACAGTACCATCACACCTCTTGAGACAGGATTACCTGCACAAAATTTTATCAGTGGGGTCCACACTTCAACTTGAAGTTACTGTATGGGAAAAATAATAAAAAGAAAAGGAACTGCCTGACAAGTAGCCAGCCAAGAAATGTGGCCCCCAGAAGAGTGATCTTTCCAGAGTCAGCAAGCAGTGAAGATGAGGAAGGTGACTATAATTATTGTTGTCAGCCTTTCTCCTCTGTCAACTCTGCCCTTAGCATTAGGAGGTAGCCAAGCTACCTCTTGGTTGTTCCTGTATATGATGCCATCAGTGCTGACAGGATCACATTTAAGCAGTCACAGGTGGTGTGTGTCAGTCACTCCATTTTGTGTATATTTATGGCCAGTAATGCTTACACGTTATTTACATGATTATTATTTACTTTTCATTAAAAGTAAATAATAATAATTTGCTAACTCTTGCTTTTCCCCTTAATACAAACTAAAGTTACAAAACAGGAAACACAAGGGGAAGAAAGATGAGATTCCTGGACTATGAGCAATTTCTTTCTATGAGAATCTACTGAGATTTGCAAGTGGGAGGTCAAGGCAACAGCATAGGAAGGAGAAGGGAGAGACTGACAGCCTCGGGTCGAAGGCTGCAGGGCTGCAAGTGATAGCTGGGCCCTGAAGGGTGCATAGAAGGCACTTAGCATAGCAGTGGTGACATCACTTGTGCATGCATGTCTGTGTGCAGCAGTTGATATGTCTGCCATTTGCTACTCAGTGCTAAAAGACAGCTTATGCAATGAAATTGTGATCACAAGATCGGACTGGGAAGCCTGCACATTAGAATCTAACAACCAAGGAGACAGAGAAGTGTACACACTATTTTGGCATGGCATGATCGAATTCAAGCTTTATGGTTACCTCACTAGAAACTGAAGCAAGGAAGAAAAAGTGGGTTCTATCAAGTTCTTAAATGTAAGCAGTAATTTTGAGCTTGATTACTTGTTCTCACTTTCTCCCACTTATAGGAGCCACATGGCATTGGCAACAACTCTGAAAGCAGACCTTTTCACCAATGGTTAAAGTTTTAGCAGGGTGGAGGATAAGTACAAGACCATTATCTTCAATCATGATCTTTGTCACAACTTTGATTGTGAGTTTGTGTGAGATGTAGTATTGAGTGAACAAATAACACAAAATCAGTGTGATGGATTTTTTTCACCAAGAAATATATTTAGTACTATTCATAATATTTTCTTCAGAAGGATGTTATCAGCTATTTTTTTATACATAGCTTACTATTTCTACTAAACAACTGAATATGATAGAGGGGAATTCTGAGATCCAGACTTTACTGTAAAAGCACTATCTGGGTCACATCTATTCACTGAAACAGGTCTCTCAAACTTTGGAATTTACCAGGCCAAAAAGGGAGGCAAGAAAATAATACCATGGTTGCCTCAACCCAGAAACCTTGGGAGGAAACACTGGCTCAGTTTGGGGTTTTTTTTCCAGAGGAATAAATGCTTCTATGACAGTGACAGTCAGATATCTTAAGTAAATAACGCCCCATATTCATATTTGCAACCTTCTCTGCATTTATTTTCTTATTTTTGAAGAAAAGGAGATCCTTCCAAAGACACAACACAGGAGACTCTGTTGTCAGCCTGCTACAGGTGGGCAACTGCATGAAATGCTGGAAATAGCCCCAAGATTTCTGTGGTAGGGCCACAACTCAGCTCCCACATGATTCCAGTTCTGTCATTGCAAAGATTTCCCCACCCTCCATCTTCTTGTGTTTGCACTGTGAGCTACTTAAGGCACCCTGTAAAAAGGAGCTGTGCTCTCCCAGCCCAGGACTGAGGGGAACAGAAACAGATGCACTGTGGGTCTGCTACAGCCTTCATTTGCCGTTTGCAGAGAGCCACCCCCTTTTATGAGCCCAGAAACTCACAGCTAGCAGTGTGAGTGGGTGAAGAGCATGATCCAGTTATGTTTTAAATCCACTCTCTGTGTTTTAAAGGTAAACATTAGGTAATAACTTGAGGCCACAGGCTGGAGACCAAAGGATCAATGTCCTTATACTGTATAGAGAAATTACACACTGTACCTTCAGACAAATCTCCCTCATATAATTAGCACACACTTGTAGTGCCAAGTCTCCTGCTTGCTTTCAAATGGATTTCATGTTGAGCTGTTATTACACACCTTCTCCATACTAGTTATTTGGGCTTTTGTTTAAACTGCTCTTCTTTACCTGTATATTTCATCCAAGAGCTGATACTCACCTAGTAACCAACCTGCTGTTGCCATAGATATATCCTATTCCACCAAAACCTGCAGGAATTTAATACAAAACAGAGTTGCATGGTCACAACTCTGAATACACACAGACTGGATTCCCAAGGGTGTTTCAAGCCTCATGAAACAGTATAGAATTTCCAAAGGCACCTTGTGGACTGATCTTCATATACTTTTTCTGTCTAATTATTAGCACTAATTGTTAGTTGCAGCCTAGTAACAAAACTAACAAAGGGAGGACCAGCAGAAAGTTAGTTCTGCTCTAATATGCTTGGATGTAAATATGGAGTATCCTTGTGATACCTGCACTGATTTCTTCAGCATCATGCACATGTGAAGGAAAGGTGGCTGCCTAACATCACAATATGAGGTTCTCAGCAGAGAAAACGAACAGGTTTTCTTCTGTCTGTTAGCTGCACCACACAGGGTATGAAAAATTAGAAGTGACCTAAAAGCTGGGTATTTTTACTGGGTATTATGGTGTCTCTAAGCTTTCACAAGCTGTTATCTGATTTGCATTTGATCAATCACATTCTAACTCACTTGGAGCATAGCCCTGACCTGAAGTTAGGTATTTTGTTGTGCTGGTTTTCTTTTTTTTTTTTTAGAGTTGATGAATAACTGCAGTCGTAACAAATCCAGTGACTGTGGGTTGGGTGGTCTTTAGTACTGGTACTTACTCCCCCACGTTCCTTCAGGATCTCCAAAGGAAAATGAGCATGCCCTCATATGTGCTATAGGCTGGGTGTTGAATCTGCAAAGGGAGTTTGAGAAGGGTAGGAGTTTTCCGGTAATCAGTGATTATTGGAAAAAGACAAAACCTTTACAGTGCACTGTGATGGCTGAATTTCTTCTCCTCTGCTTGTCCCACACAACCTTCTACTTCAGAAACAAGCTCAGGACACTCCTTGCCTGGTCAACCCTTTTAATTCAGTGTTACCTACATGACTAGAAAAATACCTGCTCATGCACCTGTGTAAGTCTGTCTTGGCCTGCTCAGGCAGAGCAGTATTTGCAACACCTATCCTAGCAGTCAAGTAGAGAGATTGCCAGTAGTCCAGGCAGCTGGACCAGAAGACCACTCAAGCTTTCGTGTTTGAATCAGGCTCCTTGAGGACTTGTGTCCCATTTGTGTCCCAGAATGAAGAATTCATTTGTCTC